TGGGGTAACCAACAACGGATGCTTGAAATCGCCGACGAGCTTAATAGGCACTGCCTTGCCCGCGGGCAAAGCTCTTTTAAGCTTTCTATACATTTTGTATTGGCGCGAGCAGAGTAAAAGCTCTCTCTGCCCAACGCTGCTTTTTTATAAGAAGATTGAATTAGATTGAAAGTTTCTGGACCCACAACATTGAAAGTTTCTGGAGCCACAACATTGCAAGTTGATAAAAGCGTTGTAATAATAATATGCCTTTTTGCAGGGTTGAGTGTACACATTTTGCCCCGGGGAAGGGAAAATTTTTTTGGAAGAAACGAAATCATCATAAGATGCAATAGGCATTTTAAATCTAAATAAAACTCTTGGAGATGAACCATGAAAAAATTCCTTAAAGAAGTATGATTTTTATGAATTGAGAAAAACGTTAAAAGAACTTCTTAAGAAGGCATCCTACACCTTCAATTTTTGCCACTCCATACAAAAATGAAGGAGAAAGGAAAGAAAGGCCTTTTTGATGAGATTTTAGCTCCTGAAATTACCTTCTGGGTTGTAATTATGGATGACCCCTCAGCCGTGTACCTGATCGGGAACATGCACTTTTTTGGCATTTTCCTGAAAAAAATGAGATTTTAACCAAATAAACTAAACAGAAAGAAGGTCAACTCACCAGATATTCAACATGTTAGAAAAAACGTTTCGTTATCAGTTTGACAGAGAGCCTAACTTCATTAAAAACCAGGACAATTTAAATGTGGACCAGGACACCAGGACAATTTGTCTAAATAGGACAAATCCTAGAAAACAAGGACGTCTGGCAGCCGTACCCTAATGCCGAGTGCTCAAATCTTCACGAAACTCTCACCTTGCTATGTACCTAAAATAAATAAATTTACATCAAACATATTGATAAATATGGGAAATAAATTACTTTCTTTGTTTACCTTTTGACACAAGCAAATTACTTGGAAATGTAAATTCAACACGACACGCAACAACAAGGGCCAGGGGTGTTTTTGTACGAAAAGCAACTTTTCAGCGGCAGCGCTCAGAGCATTCCGATAATGGTATTTTGTAACAAATGTATCATCAAACGCTGGCTTTAAAATTTCTTTCATATTTATTAATTAAATTTAACCCATTGAGGGGTTCACAACGGTGTCGTAAGTGTAGCATTGTTGTATGTCGTAAACTTTAAAAGCTTAAATAAATGTTTAGAGAACTTGAAACGTTAACCAACTATTTTTTAGTACTACAAAAATTCATAATATGACTTTAATGGTACTTTGCGAACCCCTTTAATATATATTTTTAGGCGTTTAAAGTTTACGACATACAACAATACGACAATTACGACACCGTTCTGAATACCTGACATATATTTGTGTTTTTATTAAAATTGATGCACTAAACAAAAATGTATGTACTTGTTCTAATAAATTCTAAAGTTTATTTCATTAGTGCTGAATAGCACCCGTGCGTGTAAGAAATTGTGCGGTACCTAAAATTTCACCTCTGGAAACTTTATCCCCATAAAGGACTTCACCACAGTTATTTTTTACTGAATATACTGAGTTTGTGCTGCTTTTCTCTTTCTTTGGCCTTAAAATTGTGCTTCCGAAATTTGATTGTAGAAAAGTGGTTAAAGCACTTAGTTATTTTTTGCGATATAGAGAGCGTGCTGACGGTATCTTAAATAATCTAAGTCAGTACGTTTACAATTTTAACACAAATTAATATATCTAATTCTAATATTCTAAAAACCGTCTTAAAAAAAATATATACAAGAATATTTTTGGTAACTCTCTAGTATAGAGTAACAACCCCCTTGAAGTACGTTGTTTTTGCTATTATCTTCAAAGTGTAGAATAGCCCGATCTACCGCGATCACAACTTTTTCAACAATCAAATAAAAAAATGGTAATTCTCTAGTATAGGGTAACAACCCCTAAAAAAGATCCGGAAAAGTCGGGCGGGGTACCAAACGACGCGTTTCGGCCCCCCTATTAACAATGTGGAGGGGGAGGGCTAATATTATTAACCATTTAAAAGTTATAAACAAAAAACTTTTGTTAAATTCCGTTGTTTTCTATGAGCAATTACCACGTCAAAAATGCACTAAATCACCAGTTTCCACTTTTAAAACACTATTAAAACGTCTCCGCTTATTATTTTATGCAAACCAAATGATTTATTCACTTTTATTTTATATATTTCGTTAACAAAAGGGCTCTGTCACACCGTCAGTAATTATCACGATATTTGGATCGCGGTCCATATTGATGGATTGATGGATCGCGCACGAATCCTACATGTTCAATATTTATCGCGTCAGTATTTGCATAATTTTTGTGCTGAAAGCTTATTATGACGCAAGAAAATATTTTTATTTTGTACGTATAATTTACAGATAATGCATTCCACAATTATTTTAAAATTTCCAATGTTAATTAAAATTTGTTATGCAAGATTTTAAGCCCCGAGAGCGAAGGCAGAGCCGATGTTCGCATTATGAGAGTAAAAGATGTACTGACGAAATGTATGGATCGCGTTTTGAAAGTGCTACACGTTCAATATTTATTGATGGTATTGCGATCCGCGATCCAGATTTCAAAATTTTTAGAAATTTTGCGATATGGATCACGATCCATCAATACTGCATGCTACACCAACGTCAAATAAGAATGGAAATGTATGTGCAAAACACATTCACACAAGCACAAGCACAATAAACACTTACTATATCAATTATTTTTTGCCTCATTCCAATTTTAATTCACTTTTTTTACTTTTTAGATTATTCTCACTTTTTGCGTATTCTTTAATTTCCGTTAATTTAAATTCAGTTGAGTTTGACACTTTTCAGGATTTTGCCAGAAAAAAATTCTTCTGACTAAATCTGACTACTTCGGACTGATGAGAGTCACTCTCAATGAGTGTTGCTCTCTCATTTCTGCTGTCATTTCCGAGTTAAAGAACGCTTTTGGGACTAAATCTGACTACTTCGGACTTTTTCTGACTATTTCTGGGAGATAAGGAACCCTCCTATTATAACCTCAAATCGCTGGTATTGCCACTTTATTTTACATTTCATTTGCGCTATTATACTCAGTTTACACTATACACTTCTTCTTCTTCTTCTTCTTTTTTACTTTCACCTAAATAAGATTTTTTATTAAAAATTTTCATTATTTATCGAAGTATTGATTTTTATGGAAAAAGCGCCGTAGAATACAGTGGCAGCTCTATAGCTATTTTGGAATCTCGCGTTTCAGTTCGCAAAGATTGTTAACTTCTTTTTAGTAACAAAACAATCTATCTTAGGTTGATAAAACTATGTGTTTGTTTAATAAATAAGTTAAAATATATATTTTAATAGTATTTAAAAAGTGAGAACAGGTGATTTAGTGAATCTTTGTCGGTGCAATTGCCCATAGAAAACAACGAAATTGAACAAAAGTTTTTTGTTCATAACTTTTAAATGGTTAATAATATTAGCCTTCCGAACCTTTTTTAGGGGTTGTTACCCTATACTAGAGAATTACCATATATTTTTTTATGATTGTTGAAAAAGTTGTGATCGCGGTAGATCGGGCTATTCTACACTTTGAAGATAATAGCAAAAACAACGTACTTCAAGAATCCAAAAGAAAGTAACCAGATTCGTCCAAGTTCCAAGTCAAATTGTTAAAAAATCGCGTTTTTTGCAATATTTTAGAAACTCTTGAAATTAAACAAATGTGATAGAACCTTCCACTTAGGCTTAAATTAAGGCTTGAATTTTGTATCGAAATCTCGAAAAAGATCATCCCTGCACCTTGACCCTGAGGTCACTTATAGCACAGAATAAACAGTATACAGAAGACGCATGTCGACTATCCAACCAATTTGAATTTATGGTACGAGCGGTGAGGCAAGCAAGGGTATCACAAGCGGCGCTGCCTCTGTTACTTTAGCAGTTGTTGTTGTTGTTGTAACAGCATACAAATTCCCCAGAGATTTTGGGGAGTGTTGCTGGAGTGACAGTCCTTGGCCAGATATAAATCTGGGTCGTTCCGGTTACGTAGACCCGACTGTCGTGGGAACGACTTTAGCACTCGGCTGACGATGTTAATTCCATCGTCGCTATGACGACAAGGTGTAATAAAGGCTCCGTTATGCATACTTGGCATGGCTTGAGAGCTGTCACATAAGAAATCTGTTAAATGAGCCGCGCGTGTAATCGGTTATCGAACGCACAGCACTACATACGTAGAAGTCTGTTGGTTTTTGATTTCTACGTAAAAATGGTATAGCAGTGCATGCAATGCCAAGTATGCATAACAGAGCCTTTAAGTACGTTTTGCATCATGATCAGCGTTGCCGTTTTGGTACAATTGTATATTTTTTAATACTGTTTTTCTAAATTTTAATATCTGATACTTTTTTGTTCCCAAATCCCGTATTTTGATACTTTCGGCTGGCAGAAATGAATTTTCGAAAACTATGAATAGTACTACTAGCCTAAAGGCAAATATTTGTTTTCTTGTTATTTGAAGTCTCACAATTTATATATAGATATTTATAAGTTGATTTGGTAACTCTTATAAGGGAAACACAACCCGGAATTTTTTGCACACGCCAATGTTATAGGGCCCCTAAACCATACAAAAACATTACGAAATATCGGGCTTGCGACGAGCGTTTGTGTGGTGCATGGGGTCGTTTGCACTAA